CTTATTAGGGGAGGATTGCCCTCACCTTATTAAGTGGATCATTTATATTTTCCTAAACAATGTGGGATTCTAATACTCCCCCTCACGCACAGCGTGGATCATGCCAAACAATTGTGAACAAATCAATATCGGGTGGCACTCAACATTACATAATTGAGCCTAACTCTGATACTATGTCAGGAATATTGAACTTAACTCCACCTAATAAAACCGGCTTATTAGGGGAGGATTGCCCTCACCTTATGAGGAAATTACACCAAACCATGTCTTTTCTTTTACATTTTAAAAATTCAGGTTTTTAAGTTTTTTATTTAATTATTAGGTTTTTATAATTTTAATTAATAATGATTTTATAAGATTAAAATAACATATATACCCACCCTACCCCCACCAAATATAAAACCTAAATTTATTTAAACTCTAACCTATCTAATTCATTTATCTCCTCCCACCATGTCTGCCGCCTCCACCGCCACCTCTCTCCACAACCACCCCCTCCTCCCGCAACCTCCTCCTCCCTCCCCCTCGCCCTCGCCCTCCCTCACTCCCTCGGCTGCGAGTCGCGGCAGCGTCACAGCGACGCTGCTGAACAGCAGCAGCGTCATTTGGACTCAAGATAAAGAATAGGGCTAGGAGAAGCTCAGGTGGTCAAAATCCCCGCGTGATACCGCTCCGGGTTGTTGCGGAAAAAGTGATGGGAATTGACCTTGGAACTACGAATTCTATAGTTGCGGCAATGGAAGTAGGGAAACCGACCATTGTGACTAATGCTGAGGGGCAAAGGACCACGCCGTCTGTAGTTGCTTATACCAAGAGTGGCGACATGTTGGTGGGGTAAATTGCAAAGAGGTAGGCCGTGGTGAACCCCAAGAACATTTTTTTCTCGGTCAAGAGGTTTATTGGTCGGAAAATGTCAGAGGTGGACGAGGAGTCCAAGCAGGTCTCGTACACTGTGGTAAGGGACGAGAATGGAAACGTTAAGCTTGAGTGCCCTGCCTTGGGAAATAATTTGCAGCTGAGGAAATATCTGCTCAGGTGCATATGTATTAAATTGCAACTTGCTTCATCGATTCAGCTTTAACTAGTCATTTCAAATGTTCGATGTAGTTTTCTGGTCACCAATTGGAAAGTATCTGAGTTCATGTTTTGATATAGACGCTTCCAAATTTTTGTATTTCCATTTGATTGTCTTTAACTAGCGATGGTGAGTTATGGACGGTGGAATAAAGTGTTTAACGAGGTGTATTGGTGGTGCAGGGTTGTATTTGGATGGTGGTTGTTGGCGTTATTGCTGGTGGGTGGTTGTGGCGATGGAGGTGGCAGCGAACGGATGAGACGAAGAGTGTCTGACCAACTACTTGGTCGACCCGTGACCAAGTGTTGGTGGTGTACTGGGATTGGGGGACGAGTGTTGGAGTGTTTGTGACCAACTATATCGATATGTGATCATGAATTGGTGGTGCACTGGGATTGGAGTTTGTGACCAACTCTTTGGTCGATCTGCGACCAAGTGTTGGTGGTGTACTGGGATTGGGTTGACGGGGTGTTTGGGTTTATGTAACCAACTATATGATTTGTGACCTTAAAATTAGTTAATCTGTGATTCAAAATATAATATGTGACCATCAAATTCGGAAATATGTCATCTCTGTGGCCTATAATTTTTTTAACTTGTGATCAATTAAAAATATGTGACCTATAAATTTTTTTTATCAGTGACCAATGGAGTCAATTGTAGCCTATAAATTTTTTGATCCGTGACTTCAAAATAATCCATGACCAATTAATTTGATAAGTTTTGACTGAAAATTAAATTTTTAACTAATTAATAAGATATCTGTGACAAATTTGCATATAACTGTGACCTTAACAATTGCAGGAATCGGAGCAGTCGTCGAAATTAAGCAACGGCAGATTGATCATCGGAGTAGTTGCCGGAATTAAGCGTGGACGAAGATCAGTCGCCGGAGTAGTGGGGGTGGTGGAGATGGGGTGGGGTGGATTAATTATATTATATTACAGTTAAATATTTAATATAATATAATAATTGTGAAATATAATTGATTAATTCATGAAAAATCTGATTTTTGCAATTGTAAACCTTATGGCCTGATTTTTTATTTTGGGATAGATAAAGTCTGAGTTGTGAATTTTTCCCATAATTTTATCCAAACACTCATGTAGGCTTTAGATAAATAACCAACTTCTTTAGCATGTTCTGATTTATACTTGAAAAATTATATGTGATTTTTCACAATTCCTAAAATTTTATGTTCGTCCATATGTCTGGGGGAAATTAAATTCATTGTCATATTACGATTTAAGAGATCTTGGGTTAGTTTGAACCTCATTTTTTTGGTAGAACATATACTGTAATATTGATTTTTGAAGAATGTGTGATTAAAAAATAAATTAGATTTACGTGTAAAATTATTTTTTTGAAAAAAATGTCATTGAAAATGAGTTTTTTAAAGAATAGAGCTCAAAACTAATATTTGAAACATAGAAAGGCAAAATGTATTGGAAATGATCCTAACAATTCCACGACCATTTCGATACTATGATAATCTATTATTAAACAACTGCATTTCAATTTTTATTGTGACCGTATAAAATATTCACAACTCCTCTATAACAAGACAGAAACAAATATAAAATTTTTTTGTTAGTATTGACAAGAGTGACACAATTTATTTCCGCTGAGAATCCTTTCAGGTGATGTCATATTTAAGTCCCTATTTGGTGGGACTTCAAGTCAGATTTTTAGTAAATTTTAATAAAAAATTAATAAAATGTGTGATTAAAAAGTTCTGAATCTCGTAAATTTGTTATTAAAATTAATTGTTAACTTACACTTAGATTAAAACTTCTACCAAATAGGGGCTATGCATATTCCCCATTCTCCGAAAACTCACTTTCAGTCACACATTTTTTCAATAAAATAATTTTGCACGTAAACCTAAAATTTTTCTTTACTTCTTAATCACAAATTCTCCCAAAACTCACTATTTCAAAATTCATTTTTACCAAAAAAAAAAAAAGCCTAAATTATATGACCAATAAAATGAATTTCATATCCCCAAATTCAATTGGTCTCGTCATTTTATCCACGCCACCTTCCGCATCACACGGGAATAATCTCCAATGCGGACAAATAACATTATTCTATTGGACAAAGCGTTTCGGTAAATGAGTCCATGAATTATGATCAACATAATACAAGCTGCAACGTCTTTCAGAACCATTAATCTCAAAAAACCTTGAATGATAATCGATCAAATAGTCACAAGGGTAGTGAAAAAAAGTAACTGAACTTGCCACTTGCTTAGATTCATTGTTATAAAAACAAAGCAACCCAAGAACAATAAAAGTTACACGCTTGCATCATTCTTATAACTACATTACATAAACAAAATCGAAACGACACTGGAACATAAACAAGAATAAGTACAAAGTTCTGCACACGAACATCAGAAAACAAAAACAAAAAACTAGACAAGTTATATGCTAAGATAATATCTCAACACGTACCATGCAGCAAATCGGTAGAACAAGACAGATTCACACATCAATATTGTGACACAATTTACATCTTCAAGCAAACCTGATGTGTACGTTTTGTGCTGCATTGATGTCTGTCTTTTAGCAAACTATCAAAGGATGGCAAAACATGAGTCTCCTAATAAAACTGCCAAGACCTCAGGACAACCAAATTTTTGAGCCATGAATATTCCTCTCTTTTCCAACTTGAAGGAAGCCAAATGCAAATAAGTCAAGGGTACGAACTTTTTGCATTATTGTGGCATTATTCTCCATAATCGTACAAAAGCATCCTCACCCGAACTCACCACACTGTAATCATCAGTAAATTCCAATCCATAGACTCCACCCAAATGAGCTCCCTTGACAGTTATTCGACTTGATGCTGACTTGTTTATTTCATATATAATAATGCATGTGTCAAGGGATCCTGTGGCCACCATGTCGTTAGCAGGTGACCAAGCCAAGCAGTTTATTCTCGCTGTGTGGTATAACATATTGTTAAGCTTTACCTGCCAAACATATAAGCAAAGAATTACATAAAAAAAATAAAAATAAAAAAAGGAAAGGAGAGGAGAGGTAAAATCGATAGATTAAACCTTCTATTATCCAATCGACAAGAAGATCTTTCATTTAGTTGAGAAAGGAATTATGCCACAGTCACGTGGAAAGAACAATAGCATAAATAGAGAAAAAGAGACGAGATCGTCCGATAGCTATCTAGACGTAAGAGGATCAGAATACGATTTCTTTTTCTTTCATTTTTTTTTTCTATCAAGAGAAGTGACATATTATCCTACACTATGTTGCTTGGACTCGGGTACGGGTATCGGGTACGAGTATGTATTTGAGTGTCGGATCCATTATATTCTAAAATATAGGATACGGGGGCATAGCTAAAAAGAGTCCAAATTTTGGACACGGGTACGTGGGTACGTCTTTCAAACTTCAATTTTTTTTATTAACCCAAGATGTCATCTTAAATAGACCAAAATCAATCCTTCACAAAGAAGGAAATGAGCATTGGATAAGGGGTTAAAACGAATAAAATGAAATATTGGGGTTTAGTTTTCAATTATGAAAAGTTAATTACTAAATGTTATATAAAATAGAAAATGGGGGATTTGATTACAATTTAAACTTAATGGAATATTAAGTTGCACTATATGGAACCCATTTTCATTTCATACAAAGAAAACCCCAAACCATCGATACAGAGACGAAAGAGGGAAAAAAAAGAAGAAAAGGCCAAGAGAAAAGATAGAAGAAAAGAGGAAGGAAAAAAAAAAAAAAGTAGAAACGGCGAAGTGTCCGGTTGAAATTTGGAGGATCCGACACATATCCCATACCCATGCGTGTCGTGTCCGACACGGGTACTTTATCCATTTCGAAGAGTCCGAGCATCAAAGATCCTACATATGGATAAACCTTTAATTTCCCTATGTTTGTCAATCTGTCACATATTCACACTTCCCATACTTTTCCAGACAACTATGCTCCTTTCAATTAGCATAGCAGAATTTTCTGTGGGGTCATTCAACGATTTTAGTACATGAAAGCCAATACAGACTTTTTCGTATAACAGCTTCCATTAGGATGATTATCAAGCATTATTTTGTGCCATGAATATCTCCTATAGGAATAAATTAATTCTAATCTAAAAGAATTGAAAAGAACACAGGAAATTCATTGATGAATAAATATGCAATACATGAGCAACGAAAACAAAAATTGAAAATTAATTTGGTCACAGTTATTATTGATGCTCACTCCAGCAATCTGATGCAACTCAACACTTCCAAATTCAACAACTTTGCCAAGTTTTACTACCAAGACATCAGACAATATTGACAACTCTCTTTGTGATAAGTAATACTGGGCAAAAAGAAGTTTACAAACCTCACGGGAAGCACGGTCCCAGACAACAGCTTCTCGATTAGCATCTGCTGATGCAAACATGGAAACATCTGGAGAGTAGCGAATGACAGTGATAGCCCCCCGATGTTTTTCAATTACTGCCTCTTCTTTCAGAGTATCACCTGCGATGGAATATACATGCAACTTCCCATCTTGACCGCCCACAATTGCCTCTGTTCCATCAGGTGCAATGGTACATGCTGTTACAGGGAATCCAAGATTAGTCGTAGACAAGACTTTTGCACCACGAAGGAGGACAACTCCGGTTTCAATTGAAACCAAGGCAAGATCAGGGGAAAGAATGGCAAGGCCCAAATCCTTTGGTTGACTGCCAATATCAATGCAATCTGCATCTCCACATTGGTCTCCACGTAGAGAAACTCTCCAAATCTTAGCCAGAGAAATCAGCAAAATATAACATTAGAACACGAAGCCAAATTTTCTTGCTTTACAATGTTCTAGTACAACTTTTATTTCTCTTACTGAACATCACTATTCAAAGGTACAACCATTACAGATGCGAGGAAGAAAAAGGATAAAGATGTGAAGCTTCATATGACTTGCCAATAGCATATACTCTGCTCCCATTCAAATGGGCAAAAATAGTTATAATAACTCATTTCTTTATTATATCTTAGTATGCCATAAAGTCATGAGATTCCCCATCACTTAGTAGTTAAAAGGGGATCTCTCACCATTGTTAAGAAAACCTCTCGACCTTTTTCATATGACAGACTATTTAGAATGAGTAGCAATCATTATGAGATTCATGAGCATGGGAATAAATCTCTAATTATACTGTGCAGAGTAATTGCTGAAAAAGTCAAGCAAAGAAAGTCCAAACAAAATGCAATTTGATATATATAACAACTTCTGAATTATTAGCTAACCTTATTGTCAAATCCAGATGAAACAATTTCTTGTTCAACAGCTGTAAAACATTTAATTTGAGAGTTCACCTTCCTCTCTAACCTTCCACAATATCCAATACCTTGAATCCATTTAACTATTAAACCATCATAACTGCTTGTTAATATGACTTTTGGATCACTTTTCAGGACGGCTAATGAATTAACATTCTTCATATGTCCAGACAATGCCAGGGGCTCTTTGTCAAGATCCTTTGCTGAGTATAAAAAAATAGTTCCACCGAGAGAAACAGCGACGAGATAATCATTTTGCCAGAGACAACCAACTAACATGTCATCAACTCCACCAGAACCAGGACAAGTTAATGTTTTCTTCACCTTTCCATTACAATCGTCAGATATCTCCCATATTTTGGCAGACTTGTCAGCAGACACCGTGAGCACCTAAAATCAAGTTTATACTTGTTGGTTTGATACATCAAAAAAGATGAGTTGATATGAGAGTACTGTTGGAGGATAATATACATTTTGATAATGCACAAATTACTCAATTTCGTGTTGTGCATTCAATGCAAAGCTTAATTTAGGGATGGCAATTTTGACCTGAAAAAACAAGCAAGCTTAATTTAGGGATGGCAATTTTGACCTGAAAAAACAAGCACCGCAATGTCCCACCCCAAATGGGATGGTTTCAGAGGCCATGGCAGGGCCAGCTCGTTTATCCTTTTATTTTAAGAAAAATACAAAATTTGTATAACATCACCTTAGCCAAACTTCTTTATGCCCAGACCAAAACCAATTACCCAAGTCCATTAGCCCAATTCCCAAATTAATTGAAAATAAATAAACAAATAAATAAATAAATGGGGCAATAAACGGTGTGGGGCCCACCTTAAAGTGGGGATTGGGGCAGGGACGGGGCACTCTGCCCATTGCCATCCCTAGCTTAATTGTATCAAAGTTGCTTCTTTTTTTACATTTAAGCAATAGAGCGGCCATGGACAAAGAAAGGAAATCTACAGCAGGCCAATGGCACTTCATCTAGATTAATTACTTAGGAAGTGCTGAATGGAAATGAGAATCAAACTTTCTTTCACATCTCTACTAGGAGATATTGCAGATGTAAACACAAATGACTTATCTTGCTTTCACATAATTTGAATGTTATACAGCCTAAAGGAAATCCATGTCTATATTTTTGTATACTATTCTTGAATGTTGCATATCTTTGATTGTTATACAACCACAAGGAATTCCACTGATCTATTTTTTACCTATTTCTTTGGGATGGGAGAAGGGGGGAGATCAGGGTGAAGTTGGCAATGTTAAGAGGGACAAACAGATTAACACTGTCTGCAGAACAAGAATAAATTCTTGGCCACACCTGTTTGCTATCAGAACTCCAACTAACAGCATATATGCTGCCTTTGTGCCCATCCTCAGAAGATAGTTCTCCAATTTTTTCTCCAGTCTTCGCATCATATATTAAACCCTTTTTGTCAGAGCTAACAGTAATAAATTTGCTGCCATCTGGAGAAAACCTAACACAATTGACGAAATTCAAATGGTCCCTGCAGGTAAATGTATCAGTAAATTTCTGAAAATACAAAAAACATGTAAATAGAAAGCATAATCATTTAGAATATCTTTTGCTATAAAACTCAATATGCAGTCATGCATCAGATACAGGGAAATACTATTAATAAGAAAAATTGCAAATTATTCGATTTATTTCCCTAATCACGAATTAAAAAGGAAAAAAATTCCTAAGTGATGTAATTGCCAAAGCTAAACTTTTTCGTAGTTAGGCCCACAACAGAATACTGAAAATTAAATGCAAATGTTCCACTACAATTAAATACCATCCCCCTAAAATTGGCCAGCATAGTTTCATAAAATTAAGATATTATCAAATTAATGTTTTTACACATCGGCAAAAAATAGTGATGAGTAAGAAATGACATAACATAACCAAAGATTTCAAATATAGAGATATGTCCAATTTAGGTGTTTATAAAAAATCTTATCAAATGGTGGTAAAAATTTAATTAGTATGATAAAATTCTCAGAATTACAAAGAATATTAAGAATAACGAAGGCTCATATAGAATGCATCTAGGCTATTACATGACATTAGCATGTGTAGTGCTTCTTGATTTACATAATGTGTAGAAAATGGGGCTCATGGCACATTTGGGCAACTGGTTGAATTGAATTCTAAATTTTCATGGAACGATCTTACTTTCCTCAACCTTCAGTTTTCCTTAAATGGCATAAATAAACATGAAAAAACCTCATTGATGCTGGTATGATGAAACATGGCAACACGAGGATGCTAAGAACAGTACCGGTAAAAACTGCTTCAGAAACAGAATGACAGACTACTTTTTGAAGCAATCATCATATTAAGGCCTCGTTCGGGAGGGATTAAAAGCCAATTAAAATTGAAAATATGGCCGTTATTGGGTCCCACTCATCTAATAAAAGTCAACAATAACGGCTATATTTTCAATTTTAATCCGATTTTAATCCCTCCCATACAAGGCCTAAATATTTTATAGGCCTACCTGAAGGATCATCCAACCAGCCCAATGAGTAAATTGGCTCAGCCAAGTAGGAGAGATCTAAGCCTCTCGAAAGCTTAGAATCTATCTTTCATATTAAGGCCCCGTTCGGGAGGGATTAAAATCCAATTAAAATTGAAAATATGGCCGTTATTGGGTCCCACTCATCTAATAAAAGTCAACAATAACGGCTATATTTTCAATTTTAATCCGATTTTAATCTCTCCCATACAAGGCTTAAAAGAATAAAAATTTGATAGATCACATCCAACCATACTATGCAACTAGTAAATTAAGGACAATCATATATCCTGAATAATTTTCACATTTTTCTTTAGCTGTTTCTTGTATCAAAGTTATCAGATTTTCAATCAGTTATTTTGCAGAGCTTTTGGAGGGGTTGAGAAGTCATTTTGAAAAATAAGATTGCCACTTTGATCTTTTTTAGTTTCTAATCAACAATCTGTTCCAATCAATATAGAATCTTCGCTGGCTATTTTGGGAAACACTGTGTTAGCATTTTTCAGATTATGAGTTGTATAACAGAGTAAAAAGAGTTTTCCATCTTTACATTTAAATTCAAATCTGAGTTATTCAAAAATTCTAATGGAAACCAAATATAAGAGAATCCATGCATCATAAATATGGCCACTATATTATTTCTGTTGAAAATTATTATTATTATTATTATGCGAAATCCATATCTGAATAAATATATAATCTCAAAGAAAATATATGGCATGTAATTGATTATTGAGAATCCATATCTAATTACATATATAATCTCAAGTATATAGATGCCATATCTGATTCTGATTCAACACATTAATAGAGATGAGAAACCTGTGAGATAGCTTGAACTTAAATGGAGGTCCTTCATAAAAATTAACTAAAAAGTCCTCTCCACATGTTACAATGCGAAACGGCCTCGTCGGCTTAAATGCACAACTTAGAACTCTTCTTGAATGCCCATCAAATTCTCCAACATTAGTTCCTGAGTCCCACCTGCCACAAAAGTTAGTCAGACGAGAGAACTCTGCGACAAAATGCAAATTAAGAGAACGTTTCTCGTTCAGATAATATATATTAAGACCGAAAGAGAGATAGCTCCATATATTCATACGCGAGTCTGTATATACATATATTATATGCATTGTTCAAAAAGATATAAGCTTACATGAAAGCGCGAACCAATGACTTGCCCTTGCCATCACCTGAGGCGACAATGCGCTGTCCATCGGGTGACCACTGAAGATCATCGATCCGACCCGAGAGGACACGGAACTCCTTCTTCAATACAAAATCATTGTGGGTCCCCCAGATCCGGACAGTGCCAGACACGTCAGCGGAAGCAATCCACTCGCCGTTCGGAGAGTATCGGGCGACGGTGGCAGGGTACGCGTGCTCGCCGTACACCTTGACTTCCAACGGCCGGTCCAGGTACCGGATAACTACGGATCGGCCGTTGCAATAGAGGATGGAATTGGATTTCTGGTCGCCCGAGATTAGGATCCCCCTGCCCCGTTCCGTTGAGGGGGCGCACGCATATGTTTCCGCTAGCTGTGCCATTTTCTTTGGAATTGAAAATGAGTGTGTCAGTAGAATTGGAAAGTTCCTATGTTCAGATTTCCCTGTTTATACCTTTTTCTTCGCAGGTTTTAAAATATTGGAAATATTTATACTTGAGGTCCCTCACCTTTGGACAAGTGATCTCCAACCTTAAAAACCAAACATTTGGATCCAACCTATACAAAGCTGTGATTTTGGATTACGAAAACCATCAATCTATACGTTAAAATGACATGTCAAAGAAGGAAACGCGTGTCATTCTTTCTCTCCGCTTCGACAAATTTATCCTTATAGCAATTATTTTTTCTCTTTTAACCGTTTTCTAAATTCTTCTGTACAACATGATATATGTAAACGTAGATTTAATTATAGAATTGAAAACATCATGGATTAGTGCATTCGAATCAAAAATTGGAAGCTGAGAACAAAAATCTTCACCCATATTAGGTTTGTGGAAGTAGTAGCTTTAGGAATTTTTGTTAAGTATGATCATTCAGGTAAATATGTGGTTACTCTGTGATCTATCAATCTCTGTTTAATTTGGCTGCTTCTCCATTTGCCTTTTTGTTTGGAAATAAGTTTATATCACATACTGCTTGGCTTTGAAACTTTTGTTTTTTGTCCTTTTTTTTCTCAATTGTTTGCAAGTAAGCTTTATCCCTTGGGAAATTTACAAAAAAAAACCTCTACGTATGGTGTATTTACACTTTAGTACCTTATTTTTTAAGCCACACTTCACAAAAATATAACTGCATGTGTTTCGTGATGAAGAGAGTAAAGTTTGTAGGTCGTGCCACTAATATTCGGCATCACATATTATTGAAATCAATACAATTGTGTCACATATTATTGAAATTAATAAAATTGTAACATCGTGCAGCCAAAAAAATAAAAAAAATTTATTATGCCAGTGTCAATAATACAAGCCCCGTATCAAGGACTGCAACTTTACTTAAACCCCTTGATTCAATCGCAGCCGCAATTTGCCCAACTTCAACCACACATTGTAAATATTAGTTCAAATTTGAGTTGTAAATTCATTTCAATTGTAATAGTTTATTTCAATTGTAAAATAGTTTTGCTATTAGTAAATGTTTAATATGATTCCTCGCATTTAAACGTCTACTCTCATCACTTAGATTTTTGTTTCGCAAGCTATTATAGAGGTATTAGTCATTCAAAAATCTTTCAAAATTACAGGTGTTCACCCCCGCACCAGTCATTGTAATTTTCGGCTTTCATCAATTGTAATTCCTAACTTTCAAGCAATCAATGATCAATTTACTTTCAATGCATTTCATTTTTTTTTTTTTGCAAGCTTTCTACAAATTGTAATCAAATTTTCTTTTGCCCCGAAACGACCGAGAAAATGCAGAAGGTAGTTTAACGGATCAGACTACTAACGCACGTTGTCCTTTTTTGTGCTAAGAAGAAAGGCACCTTGTGAAATCCCGTCACCGGCATGACAGCCCAACGCTACCCCCAAGGGAGATAGTGGAACTATTTTTTTTCTAGTCGAGTTCTCTAAAACTTCTACGTGACACACTTTCAAAGTTGATATATGGAACAACACAATGATATATCTGCGACTACAACCACTATTAGAATAATGGAAATCAATGTCTAATACTATAAAACACGATACATGGCATCAATAACAATAGACAATGTGCCCTTAGTTTCTACCTGAAATGAAGCTATGATCTCCAATAAGCTATCATATAGCCATGTTGATCCACAAAGCCAAACGATATATCTGAAGACAAAATCGAACTCTAAAATCCAGTATGGAGAAGACCAATTTTCTGGGTCAACCCATCGACCTCTTCACTGTGCCCTGCAATTGATTCTTCCTGTCAAAAATGAACAAGATACTCAATCATAACATAGTAGTCGGGCCGAATAAAGGATTTAGTGACAAGTCTATTCCATTCTTATCAAAGTCGAGTTTAATTATAAGATAGTATGGATATCCCATGGCAGAAGATTTAGTACAATCTTCTGCTTATTATTCAACCAAAGAAGAAGCAATGACACAACTACCAACATAGATGAGTAGGCATTCAATCGTCAAATCTGAGTAAAAGGAATGGGACGAACAATAAAATTACCTCTGCACTGTTTGTTCCTTTAACACCAATACATTTAGAAGCACTGATACTAGCACTCTTCAACAAGCTACGAGCAGAATATGTTTCATTTTGTGCATTTGCATTTGAATTATCTGTTCCCTCAGCTTTGTTGGGAGGACTTTGAAGAGTTGAAGCAACAGATGCTGAAGTTCGCTCTTCAAAATCATTATCTTGAACAACTGATACATCCTTGACCACAGGGACTCGTTCTCTGAAGGAACAGCAGTAGGTAAAATATTAATAATACAATCCAAATAGTGATAAATTTTCCAGGTTTGAAGGGTTTTCTATTCACATGTTATATGCTCCCGATGGTGACTTGGTAAAAAACAAGAATGTGTGTGATTCCTATACTTGCCGCATATATGATTAGTACACAGGCATTTTTCCCAACTTTGATACACTATTAACCATTTCATCGAAAAGTTTAACGTGTTAAAGAGTGACCACGTGTATTCATCTAAATCTTCAACACTAGTATAAGTTTGAACCACATCTGCCCCAAATTATTTGGGAGTGCATCATAAACCCGAGTAATGTACCAAGTGAAGTTTTAAATGTTCTATATTCTAACATTTAGAAGTTTTGAAGTAATAGAACTTAAGGACATCTACGTTTACACATCAATGCAAAGTAAATGCAAATATAGAACCAAGAAATCATTGGGCAGGTGAATGATAAATTTGATTATCTATGACCTTTACCAAAAGGATGGTCTCCATAAGTAATGGCCATTAAATTCTGCCTTGATTAAGGCGGAATTTTTTCCCCCCTCTCTTCGTTAAAAATAAAAATTATTGGATTTTTTTATTTAAAAAAAAAAAATCTACGGGGCCCAGTGCATTAACTGCAAGGAATGAACTCAAAGACCAGCCCAGCCCAGCCCTGAGGTCAAAGCATAATAGCCCGAATAAACTATGGGTGGTCACTTATCAATATAAGAATATGAAATAAACTTTTACTATAAAACATTTAAGTGGACAATAATTTGATTTTATATAGCACACTCAACAGCCACCCCATAAAACCTTTGAGAAAATAATTCCTTAACAACTTTGTACCTAGGCAATGAAGCATGTTGCCTTTGGAGTGGAGAGTTCCTTCCACCTTTACCAGGATGCTCCTCGAGATGTGCAAACTGTCGCTTGAATCGATCAACGCCACTAAGAAAAATAGCATAACATCAGCTAATATATTGCAAATCTCACTAAGCCCCTGTTTGGTAGGGATTAAAATTTAGATTTTAATCTAAATTAAAATCAACAATTAATTCTAACCACATATTTCATAAGATCCACAACTTTTCAATCACATATTTCATTAACTTTTATCAAAATCTACTAAATATCTGATTTTAATACCCACCAGCAAGGGCCAAATAATTTATGAGTGGAAGAAAATTTCTGCATTCTAAAAAAATAAGTTACAGCCATACAGAGATTAAATTCTGAGCGGAATTATCCCCTACCGAAAGCTTATATAGTTAGGAAACTGAAAATCAAGGAAGAAATAACGTATGTCTATTAGACTGTATCTCACCTACAAACACCATTAAGCATATGAAGCAGTTACTAATTCTCCTGGCGTGGATCTACTTGTTGTTAATAGATCGGTAAGAGTATTGTTCCGATGGATAACTCTTCTATAGAGTTCATTAATATCCGAGCTCATCAGTTAAAACAGTTTTTTGCCAAACAAAATCATCAAGGTAAGTACCGTACTTCAACCAATCCTAACCTTGGGTACATAAAGCCACTTGTCTGATCTCCATCTCGAAGATACTCCTTGAGCATCTGAGGGTGATACTCTAAAATCTGTTTAATTAAAATAAAAGTATTTTGAATTAGTAAAAGAACCATTCAGCGAAAGAAAGAAAAAATATTAATGCTGAAAGGCCTACCTCTCGATAAATCAACTCTCTAACATCATCTTTTGTCAATTTTTTCTTCTCAAACTCAAACTCAAGCTTTGATATTGGTTGACTGACTGGCTCACGGTCCACATTTGCTAATCCATGAAAGTATGGATCAGCCAATGCCTACAGAAACAAACATCGAAATGTTACAGAGCTGGAGTTATTAATCAGAATCCAAAAAATTTGTTCCCAATTATAGAAAACGTAAAATATTAAACAAATCTTGGTCATTTTGTGTCACCTCTTCAGCAGATGGTCTATCTTTAGGATCAAATGCAAGCAGGCGTTCCAGCAAGCGAAGAGCCAAAGGATCGACATTGGGGAATTTCTGTGTAAAAGGAACGGGCTGTTTTTTCCGCATATTGCTGAGATATCTTCTCGCCTTTTCATTTCTGATCTGCCATTTTAATAACAAAAAATATTTGTCATAAAGGAACATAGAGGACTCATAGCCTCTTGAAGTGCTCTAAACTAGAGTAATGCAGCAACATTCAGATGCAATAGGACTTAGTATCTATAGAAAATATAAAATGAGGAAGATATCAGAATGGGGTAACTAACCCTTGCAATTGATTCAGGGGGAGGAGTACCAAGGAAATCCGTCATTAGATCTAATTGGTGCACCACATTTTTACCGGGAAACAACGGTTTTCCAGTAAGCATCTCCGCAAATATGCATCCGATGCTCCAAACATCAATAGCCGGAGTATACTGCAAATAATAAAATTTCACGCATCAATTAATATAAAGAATTGAGCATATTACCTGAAAACATCACCCTCCTTCAAAACTTCTTCAATGCACAGTAAGATAAGAAACAAATACTCTTTTCAGCATGATTTTAGTTACCTAAATTCCACAAGTTAACTAGCTAGGTTCTTGTTTGGAACATGTTTTCCAATGCTCTTGCAAGAATTGTCATTTGATAGTCAAATCAAATGAGCATATATTTGTTTCTATAATGTTTTTCGTGCTAACCTTAAATGCAGCTTAGAGACTCAAATCTTTTGTGGTCATGAAATCTTTTATCAAGAATCGTCATTGATAGTCAAATCAAATGAGCATATATTTGTTTCTATAATGTTTTTCCTGCTAACTTTAAATGCAGCTTAGAGACTCAAATCTTTGGTGGTCATGCAATCTTTTATCATATTCTCCCATATATCAAACCCTCATTTGTTTATACAGACGTAAAAAATATATGTAAGGTATTTTTTTTAGATTGCAGTGACTCATAAAATTACAAAAGCCAAAGGAAGCGTTGATTACTTCACTAAGACTGAACAGCCAAATGGGCTCAAAGAAGTTATAAATTTAAAAGGAAATTGTTAGTCAGAAAATAAAAAGTGCAACAAAAATGTATCCAATCCTAATGAACTAAAGAAACTATTAATCAATATATTCTAAATTGTTTTGAGAAAATAAATTGAAAAGTGGTTGAAGCAATTAGAGAAACTTTTAATTAGCATTATTCAAACATGTCCGTTTTCACATTTATAAAGTAGCATATACAAACAAATCTATCAAGGTAAGTCCCATTTTTAGTAACTGAAGATTGGATAAACAAAAATATTGTTGGGAGATCAGCTTACTTTAGAGAAAAAGGAGCCACATAGCTCTGGAGCACGATACCATCGAGTTGCAACATAGTCCTATTATTAATCAAGTAAAGTAAATAGAATATAAAATGTTAGGAAGTGATTGAAATGAGATAAAAGAAAAATCAAAAGCTTTGTAAAAACTCAAACTTACAGTCCAAAAAATTGCTGATGGGACATCATTAAATGATACAGCCCGTTCTGGTTTTAGTGTTTAGATCAACTTACAGTCGGCATTAGCAAGTATGTTTTTGGGCTTCAAATCCCGGTGAAACACATTAGCTACAAGTAAAGGAAAAGGCATGAGAATTGTAAGCACGAAATTTTTCTTTGGGAGGCATGGAAAGAATAAGAAGAATAAAGGGGTGATTTTGTATCGTGTAAGACAATAAACCTGCGTGAATATATTTTAATCCTCGCAGAAGCTGGTAGAGGAAAAATTGATAATGCTCAGGTGATAGATCATCATTAGCCTTAATTACTTGATGAAAGTCAGATTCCATTAATTCAAAAATGACATAGATATCTCTGAATTCTCTTCGAGAAGGTGGAAGCATAATGTGCTTTATTTGCACAATATCGGGGTGATGAAGAAGCCGAAGGAGTTTGATTTCTCTAAGAATTCGTGTGGCATCAGAGACATGCTCAAAGACATCATTAATCTTCTTGATTGCGACTCTTTCTCCAATATGAGTATCAATTGCAGACCCCACAACACCGTAACTCCCCTTGCCTACAACTTCTTGAATCTCATATCTATTTGCCTCCCCATACTCTGTGAAAAATTCCTTTTCTAGTGAACTCTGTAAAACAATTACCCTATTAGTAACTGTTGACTATTAACTACGCAATTACGCGAGCATATAAAGTAAAGATAAATTTCCTTTCTAGCTAAAAAGGAAAATTCAATAATGTCCATTTCAAGGGAGAGAATGGATGCTAATTCTTTTCACTTTCTTATCATCAAGAGATAAAGGAAAGATGCAGCATCTTTTTCACATCTTTTACATCATTATGACAGCATAAGTTATTACATCTCTTAAGCCCTCTCCAAGGGACATTATGGATGCAAAAACCTTATAACGTGCCATATTAGTGCTTTCTTTTATTACATAAATCAATGTCACTCCATCTATTCAATATGTTAATGACTTATCATGTAAATGCAGCAATTATAAGTCCACATTCAATGAAATTACCAACTGATTAACCATAATCCTTTGATTACATCTTTCTTTCACCGTGTTTCCCCTTATAGTCGAACTCTCCATGAATATTTCAAATATTTCGAAAATCACAATTATTCCATGTTTTAAAATGGAACGATCCCAAGAAAAAATATGTACTTCAAAGTTCATAGATCTACTATGCAGATAGCAAGAATCAACAATAGAACTTTTAAACTACAGAGAGATCTATACCAATGCCTGTCAAAAACGAAGAAAACAACGATTAAATCAAAGAACCCAGAGAATAGAATACCTTTTTGTGCGGATCCATGGAAGCAGATGAAGTGGAAACGGGAAAGTTAAATCTATTAGGGACTTTGATAGGCTTGAGTCCAGAAAAATCAAAGTCTTCAGTGATCACAAGGCCATCTTCTTTTTCGGGTAAACTTGTCAAATGATCTTCGTCATTATGACCGATAACTGAATTACTAGGATCAAGCGTTGCTGAACGACGTTGAAACAAGCGACGAAACCCGTCCACGAAATTCCCACCCCCCATATAACCGACCGAACTTGTCTTTCCTATTTTTCTGCTAAACTGTCGATTTGGTTCTGTATTCTCTTCCACTCACACTCACCATTGCCCGCTTCTCTCTCTCTATCTCTCTTACGATCATTGCGCTTGTGTACGTGTCTGCGGATATTCTGGGTGCGCTGTGGAGGACTTTCGGGTCTTACGGTTTGTTATCGTATACTTGATTCAGACAAGACGTGTATGATTATGTCTGAATTATTAATAAATGCGAACTGAGTTATGCTACGTATACAGAGTTATACTATAAAGTTAATTGATAAAATATCATTTACACCAATTATTTTAAAAATAAAATTTTAAATCATTTGAAATCAACGATTTGGATTTTGACAACACACTTTGTAATCCAACTTTATACAAATAGCTTTAATGAATGCGAACTCACAGTTATTCACTACCGTCTGGATTTGCTCCACTTTTTTCCATAAATTCTGGAAGTGCTCGATTGATTTAATTGCTACACCATGTTTGGTTTAGATTAAAATCAAACTAAAATTTCAAGTCTAAGTCAACAATTAATTTTAATCACATATTTCATGAGACCCACGACTTTCCAACCACACATTTCATCAACTTTTATCAAAATATACTAAAAATCTGATTTTAATCTCTACCAAACATGGGCTAAATATTTTTCCTATTTTACCTATATTGAACTTATAATTTATCTTTCAAAATCAAACATTAATTTTAATTATATATTTTTTTCAATTATTGTTTACTTATCCGCATCTCATTTATCACAAACTTATAATTTCACCCAAACGTAACCTTGAATTGCTAATGGGTAGAGAAAATGGAAGTCCACGGTAGTAATCGACAAAATTGCTGCGTTCTATTGTCTTGATATTAGGTGAAGGTTCGTGTTTGGAACATAAAAATCAAAGGGGGGTTAAAGGACTGAACTCTAGATAGTACCAAACTTTGTCTTTCTGTTTGGCACCTGAACTTTCAACTGTTTCAAAACCATCACAAAACTTTAAACATTGTTTTCCATTCGTCCATAATTCCACCATATCTTACCAAAATGACGTATTTTGAGTTCGTGGCACTGTCCTTTGCTCTTTAAAAAAAAAAAAAAGCAGTAAATGTTCTCAATTGCGTTTGACTTTTTAAAATGAGTATTCGCGTCCTCCAAACTTTTAGTAGCACTCGAATCCCTAATAGACCATTTTATCCTTAACTTGTACTGACCGCTCGAGTCAAAAGTTGACAAAAAATATGTTTTCACCTTTTAACTTTAATCACTGCCATACAACGAGATGGGTTAAAATTATAGATTCATCATATATCATATCATTTTAGGGTTTATCACCAAATTTGTAATAAAGAGACGTTTTGATAAAATAATACAATTTATTTAGGATGTGTTCGATCGTGCTTAAAATTCAATTAAAATTGAAAATATAATCGTTATTGAGTCTCACTCGTCTAATAAAGGTCAAAACATTAGGATGGGCTAAAATTTAAAAAAAGTGGTAATTACTTAAAATAGTATTTTAAGAGCGTGTTTGGTCCGGATTAAAATCCAATTAAAATTGAAAATATAGTCGTTATTGGGTCTCACTCGTCTAATAAAGGTCAACAATAACGGCTAGTTTTTCAATTTTAATTCGATTTTAATCTCTACCAAACACGCCCTTATGTTATGCATAATCAAAATGAGCAAAACAGTTACAAGTTCGCTAAGAAAAGAAGTAGTTCATGATCAGTGAATAAAGTCGGGCGCTCTCTTTTGCTCAGTTTGCAATGTTCAAAACTTGTGTTCGTCTAGACTCGATAGTAAGAATGATGGTACATTTGGACATACAAGGAGGGAGATTGTAGTAGGTTTATGATTAGCGTAGAACTTTATCAATTTTATGACATGAATCCGAATACACATTTCATTCTATACCTGTTCGAAAAATTAAATCAAAATCAAATGTGGATCAGTCAATATGAACAACAATGACTAGTTTGTTTAGTGTCTGATACTTCATCAATATAAATGAACTCCTTTTTCCCTTGAAGTGATGGATTTGTTGCTTCCTTTGTTTTATTTTGAAGACTTTTTTGACTGGTAATTTCATATATTCTACCAACCATTTGAAGAAATGCCTCTTCCACATTCACGTTTTCTCTAGCAGATGTTTCCATAAAGAACAGATTTTCCTGCTGAGCCAAGCTTTGTCCCTCTTCTACATTAACTTCTCTTGACTGACTCAAATCAGATTTGTTGCCCAAAAGAACAACAACCATGTCGGGGCTACCGAATTCACGTAGCTCGTGCAACCATTTCTTCAAATTTTCGAACGTTGCCCTCCTTGTTATGTCGTAGACTAGTAAGGCGCCTAGAGCTCCACGGTAGTATGAACTTGTAATGGCTCTAAATCTGCACAAGATAACGGTTTCTCATCAAGGACTGTTGTGTTTCATCCCCATTAATTGCTATGTCCATTTTTATTTTAAGTAGCATAATTTGCTGCACTTGCTGTATGGTTGGATTCGAATACCTAAAATTAGGCGACAAGGGCGACCCATGACCCATTTTTCAACATTTATGTGAAAGCCCTGTTCCTCATCAATCTAAAATACAAATTTGAACACAAAATTGAGTTTTAAAACCATTGAATAGATCAAGAAATGGACCTTAAAACTCCCTTTGCAGATGAATTCCTCAGGATTGTTGAAATCTTCACTAATTTTCAGTAAACCATTGACAACACTATATAGCAACCAATCTAATTGGGTCATAAACTTATTGGGAATAAGACTCAACTATATTGTTGTGGTGAAAAATATAAGTGAATAGAAGAGGAAAGAGGAAGATACAAACCTTTCTTGGCCAGCAGTGTCCCAAACCTGAGCCTTGATGAGCTTATCCCCCATTTGTATATTTCGATAAGCGAATTCGACACCAATGGTTGGCTTGGAATCTAAATGAAATTCATTTCTAGCAAATCTTGAAAGAAGATTGGACTTCCCAACTGCTGAATCTCCAAGAAGAACAGCCTTGAACAGATAATCACACTCTTCTGCAAATGAATTGGCCATATGCACCATTTGAATAGATTACACAAGTTAAATTTGAAAAATATGAGGAAGAAGATGAGAACTATAGTCATGGCTTCATGTAATAATTAGCTATATAAATGATAAAGCAGTTTCGTGAGAACTCCTTCTGAGTTGGATATCAAAGTTATTGAGTCCATGTGATGAAAGACATTATTGTAGTTCCAAATTAATTAAAAGGAAATATTGCACCACTTGTCCTCAATCTATTGCTCAAATAGCTATTCAGTCCCCAACCTTTAAAACATAGCAACTTTGTCCTCCACATTTTAGTTTTTGTCTAAATATTTGTTAAATCTTCACATGAGCCTCGTGTCTACTTTTATAAAGATATACTTCGCCTCACAACTTAGATCGGTAAATAAAAATTTGAAAAGAACCATTTTTTCATGAGTGTCTCGTGACAACTTAACGAGGTGCGAATGTGCTTGAAAGGGAAGAGTATCGATTTCAAGAGTCAAAGGAGTGAAAGATTAGGAATCCAAAATCATCTTTATTGTGTTGTGTGGTGTTATAATGTGACAATTCAATTTTTATTTGTTGACTTCTATTTATTTCGTTTAAACTTTGAGTCTTTGAATCCCTCCAACTTTTCACTTTGAGTTGAAATGCATGGGGATTAGTGTTATGAAAATAAAAGCTTCTACTCATAATTTTTTGAAAAAATGTTGGTTAATTTTGTTCGTTTCTAATATGTTAGGGACCAACTTCTTCATATTTAAAGATTGGGCTAAAGTTGCATCCGAAGCAATAGGTTGAGTACCAATGTGGCAAATTTTCCTTAAACTATTTATATAATTCTATCATCCCATCCCATCCCATCCCATCCCAGTCCAAAGGAGTGGGAAAAATTCATTTGTACAGAAATCATTTTACAGAAATTCACCGGAATACTAATAATGAGTGGGCCCCACCATGTATTAAAAATAATAATGTGCGGGACCCACATATGTGTGTTTTTAGTGAATTTTTTGATAAATTGGCTTCTGTACATGAAGAATATCTCGAAGGAGTTTTATTCTTTTGTTAATTATAGATTGAACATATAACAAGTTTCTTGAATGTCCAATCAAATTGCTCCAAATGTCAACTAATCATTTGTTCTGAGATTAGAAAATTTAAATGGTGACCCTACAGTAAGCTTATCAAAGACTAATGTCATCTCAATTATTAGTAAGGAATAAAGTAACAAAACCGATAATAATAATAATCTATTTGGAAAATTAGTATCAAACTTTGACCCGTTAGCAGTTGGATTGAGGGCCCTAGGACACCAACTTCCACGTGTTAGTTCCACTCGAAAAATGAGAACTAGTTTGAAATTCAATTCAATCACATATGAAAGAAGGAAAATTAAAATTCATTAAGCCCCGTTTGATGCACATTTTGAGAGTAAGAATGTATTTTTACTGTTGATGTATGAAGAATATGTGATTGAAAAAGAAGGAAAATTTATTAATGTGATGAAAAATATTATTTTATTAAAGAATGTGTTGTTGAAAATGAAAAGAAGAATGAGAATAAAAAAAAATAATATTGCTCAAACAGGGGCTAAAAGAGTATAAGATTCGATTTGATTTGAACCGTAAATTAATTTATGTTGTAACCAACTATCAAAAAAGGGAAATGCGATTTGAATTTTACCCCATTTTTGAGCAAAAAATGCATTTTCAAATAGTGTTTTGTTGAAAATTGTGTGGTTAAAAAGTAGTTTTTTTTTTTGATTTACGTATAATATTATTTTATAGGAGAATGTGTAATTGAAAATGAATTTTAGAAAAAATGAGGGCCAAACTTATGTTTAAATTACGATTACAAGAAATGGAGAAATGTTATCCCCAAATTAAGAAATAAAAACAATAAGAAATACTACAAAACCAAGAAAGAAAAAGAAAATGGAAGTTAATATCACAAGAAAGCAAGGAGATCTGCTCCGACCGCCGCCCCTAACCCCAAATTGCAACCACCACTACTCCGTCGCTCCAATTTTGAGATTACAATGCTTCTATTTTTTGCGCAGGGAAATGGGAATTTGAATTTTAACCCCCGAAGTATAATGTCCTTAAACAGTCACTTTGTAGACCAGCAGAAAAGGAAATACGATATGAATTTTAAATTATTTTTCCGTTGTAGGAACTGTTAACAAATGAAATAATTTATGGATAAATCTATTTGTACATAATGCCCCATATCAAATTATTTACCCCCTCTCACATGCAATCGGACCCCACGTGAATAAAAAAATCCCAAAATGTGGTCCACATCCCCTATTGTGAGTATTCGATAAGGGATTATGTAAAAAAATTCGGTACATGTAGCATGACCCATAATTTATTATACAAGCATACGATTTTAATTTATCTATAGCGGAGTGGGCTTTTGTTTCAGTCCTTTTAAACTTGGGCCACAAATTGGGTTGGGTTATATCCCATTACATACCTTTCTCATTTTTATTTTTTTGAAGATTTCCAATCCATAATTCCATGGTTTGAATCCATTTATTTAGATATCTCATTATAATTCTTAGAATTGTTAGGGGAAATTATGCTAAATACTAGGCAAATTCTAATTCATTTAAAAGTTTTAGGTATAAGAGACTAGACATGTTTATTTATTGAAATTTAGTCTTCCACATTAAGACCATATGTACATGTAGTTGTGATGGGAGGAACTAGGAAATGAATCTTATCATTTGCGGATTTCTTATTTTGTTCAGCATTTTGTTTTTTCAAATACTAGGAGAAAAATTGTCGCTAAATTGGATCTCAAACCATGGCAATTCCAGAACCTACATCCCACACCGATCTACATGGCTAAAGAATATGGTGTTCATGTTATTGGCATCAATTGCTTGAACGTGCTATATTGGTCTCAGTTGTACTGTTGAATTGCTTATTGTGTAGAAAACATAAAATGAACTCAATGTAATTTGCAATCATTGTTGCTTCTTTTTCAACCACAAATTTTTCATCAATCTACTATTTCAGAATACATTCTTCCAAAATAATGTGGCTCAAACACACCCTCAGTTAACTAACTGATTTATTCTTCCAGCTGGCTATCAGGTAAGCCGTCAGCTGATTTCTTCTGCTAATGCGTGCTAGTTGCTCGACTTCCAACTGCTTGTGAGTGATCTGTGTTGTAAGATATTGCACAAAGAAAAGCACACCAAGATGCCACATTTGATGTTTATCTCTAGTCGTGACACTATTCTTCACCTAGAACAAGTTTTCTAAAGATATTAAAAGAAAATTTAAAAAGCCTGAGCAGGCTGACCCACATAAATTGTAGGCCTCAAAACCTTGGCCTGAAAGAAGATTTTATTCCTAGAGCATTTTCACATTTCTATACTGCGCGCTCCATACTTTCTACATTCGCTTGTTTTTGATAAAAATTGTTGGCCCTGGACTATTGAATCCAATTTTATTGCATGTTCAACGTACAATACTGGTTGAACTGAGGCTTCTGTCACCACTTTATACACGATTACATAGCTTTGTGTTGTTTATTATTCGAGCTGAATAGTTTATTGTTGAATGATTTGACTGAAAAAAACTTTTAATTGAACAATAACTCGAGAAAATGTATATCAAGCCTCGAACCCAACTTCTGAAATAAAATTTCTACCCAGAGTTGAATCTAAGTCTTGAAACTTTCATCATGTAATAACATCCATATATTAGAGATATGTTGGATCAATTTATTATAAATAGACTATGTTCACTAAAAGAAAAGGAAATATTTTAACTTCTTTTCATGTTTTGATACTATCATATAATACTAAGAATAATTAAGTACGAAAAGTTATTTGGTCACACAACGTTTTAATTATGCATATATTATATGGTTGTCTCCTATCCCCTTCCCGTGAGAAAGTTGGCTGGCCTTCATACGGTTATAAAATCGTCATATTCCCTTCCCGTGAGAAAGTTGACTAGCCTTATTAAATCGTCCGCAAAAATCCCCTTGACTCTCTCTCCCCCTCTCGTTTGGACCATGGTGGCATGTGCTCCTAAGATTATAGAAGCAATGTTGCAGAAAAAGAAGATTTGTAATGTAGCTCAGGAAAGATTTTGGTTGGTTTGTTTGTGGTTGTTGGGTCTTCAGAGGCGATAGCAAGATGTGGCGTTGGGTTGGAAGGCGTTCCTTCGGCGGCAAGGGAGCCAGAGCTTTAAATCAGGGATATCTCCGGACAGATTGAGAGTGAGTCTGACCCCATTGGGAACCTTTTGCACATGGTTGGAAATCCGGATTTGATGCGGATTTTGTGTCAATCTCAGATGTTCATCCGGATCTTAAGCTAATCTCAATTGTAAATCTGGTTTCCTGGTGACTGATTGGCACGAATCATGGAAAGGAAGGTGATTTCTTCGCATTTTGCTTCTTCGCCTTTGAAGCTTTTGCTCGTGCCTCCAGATCTTTCTCATTTTTGGCCCTGCTTGGTGGAACGACTTGGATATTGGAGCAAGTGCAGGCCTCTTGCTTTCACAGGCCCAGTGTGGTGTTTGTTTGTTTTTGTTATTGTTGTCTGTTTGGCTTGTTTTCTTGATGGTAAGGTGTTGCTCGTTATAGCATTGGAAACACTTAAATTCTCTGAGGAGAGATTGTGTTGGGGGACACTCCTTGTATCCGAATCTTGCTGTTTGAAAGCTTATTGAAATGTTTATTTTTTAAAAAAAAAAAAAGAAAGGGCAGTTGATGAAATTTGTACGGATTATTTCGTCACTGAATTCAAATAGTATGCCTGGATGAAAATAAGGACTCGAGAGGAATGCAAAGATGCACGTGCAAATCCTCAAGAAATGTGCAGAGAGATATGAATGTTGTGACCATGTGCGCGTGTGAGGGACCAAATATCGACACGACAAACCCACAAACAATTGTCTCCCAAACGGACGACCAACCGAATTTAGTGGAAGACATTGTATTATCGTACAAATCTCTCCAAACATGCACTCATCCATAAAACGACAATACTGCCTCCTTTACCC